GAGGAAGATTCTGTAGATCTGAGGAAAGATGCCGTAGATCTGAAGGGTTTACTCCTGTTTTTCTTCTTTCCGATTAAAGCTGATTCCATGATGGAAGTTTCAATCTGTGGAGAACAGCTTTTTTTTTGTCCCCAAAGTAGAAAATTCAGCGCCCATACTTAGAGTTCTATTGGAGAAGTGATTGAACTCAAAATGCACTAGGGATCCAGCTGCAGTTCAGTGATGATGGACTCAACACTTGGCAGCAGCTCTTCAGAGAATACAGGCTGTGGTTTCCTCCTGGGATCACCTTGCTCTGACCGTTGGCGACAGCGCTAGTGGAAGGTGGAATGAAACAGTTAGTTGAGCCTTAGGAGACAGAAACAGTGGATGAGCAGAAGATGACACATTAGAAAAAAGCATAGGGCAGGAAGCTGATTTCCTCCATCACATTCCGGTTAGGGTGGGTTAAGGACAGAAGCCCCAGAGAGTTAGTTTTGACTCTCAAATCCTATTTGGCCTCAAGGACTTCCATTATTTCCTCCAGAATAAACAAAGAAAGGATCGTTCATTATAGAACACTTGCATATTAAGAAGGGCAGGTGGGTGGGGATAATAATTTTGTAAATAGAAACTGGACAGGGTGGGGGTGGCTGGCATGGGTCACTGCTGGCCCCTCATCCACTGTAGTCCATCACCACGTTGTCCGGACAGCCTGCATTGCTTGATCTCCTTCAAAGGGAGGCGGTACCTAGAATGAATACTAGGGTACTAGTTAAGGGCATGGGCTCTGTAGCAGAAAGACTGAAATTTTCTTGGGTCTTTCTGTCTAGATTGTACATGTACTCATTTTGCTGGGTAAGTGACAGAGCCTCTCCAAGCCCTGATTTTATCTAATGCTTACCCAAGCAAGAGTGCCTAACTTAAACAGTGGTTTCAAAGTTCAAGTGAGCTAATTCATACACAGCGCCTAATACACAGCTGGGGGCATATAAAATGCTTGAGCAGCACTGGCTAGTATTATGATTCCTAGTCTTGGCTGAGAAAAGTCAAAGTGAAAGGGGGTTAGAATTGCCACACACATTCTTATATTTAAATAAAGTAAGAGTTATGAAGTTATAAAAATAAGTGGATGGGGTCTTTAATGGATATAAAGAAGTTATAATCAAGAATACAATACCTGCTCAATAGGCTCTGGCAACAAGATATTACATTAGTTGTGTTTCTAGGTAAACTGGAGTTGAAGACATTCTCTAAAATGTGATGGCAGTTGACATCCACAGGAGTGCCAGAGAGAATGCCTGGAAGTGGAACAGAGTCCTATTCAGTATATTCATTAACAAAGTCCCTGAACGCTCCTCTGTTCTTAGCTTCTCCACTGTGCCCCACACATTTCACTTTACAACATGCTTAAAGGCAGCTGCCTCTCGGCTTTCTGCAGCAGCATATCTACAGGTTGGAAACACTGTCCCCCTGAAAGCTGCCATACTATGGGCACAGGGAGACAGGACACAAAGGAGAGGATGCGTTACCTGCAATGCAGGCTGTCATGAAGCAGGCTGTGGTCCCTGAAACCAGAGCTCTCACTGCCCCTGAGGTGATGTCACGCTTTCTGGAAGGAGCCATGGATGCTAGAAAACATGGAAGAAAGCATGAGAGATTAATGTTGACTAGAATTCCACATTCCAGCCTCTGAGAATTGTTCTGGGGTTGGGGTCTCAGGTCAACTAACTTAAAAACACACACACACAACACCTAGCTGGGAAATTAAAGATTCAAGGGCTTAGTGATGAGCTTCACATCTGGAGAAATTCTCTGGTGTGTGAGGAAGGGAAGAAGTTTGTTCACACAAAGATACAAGTCCTCAGTCTCACATAGAATTCTCCTGGTATGCTGGGGGCATGGCAAGGCAAATGCGTTGCAAGGACGGATTCCAAATATTTGCAATCCATTTGTCACCATCTACGGCTATGCCCAAGGCAGACATCACAATTTAATAACAGCATTTTCCCACTGAACTTCCACTGGACTTCAGCAGCCTTCTCCAGGTGGCCATTGTAAATCTGGAATTGGCATGCAAGTGAAGCCTACGGCCCAGGTGGAGAAGCACCTGTCCACCGGAGCAAACTCTTGCTCAGGTTAGCTTGGGTATCCCTAGAAAACTACATTGCAGAGCAGGGATAAAAAAATAGACCCGTGCTGTTGCAGTTCCTTTTTTCCCCTGATATGAATAATGTTACAGAGCAAAATGGAGATCTGAAGCATGTTTACATCACATCTGCTGTTGAAGAATATTCTTTCCACTTACTGAGTGCGCCGACCACTATTCCTAGGGAACTGATATTGGCAAAGCCACAGAGAGCATAGGTGGCAATGGTCTCCGAACGAATCTGTAAATGAGCATAAACACACAGATGTATACACGATGTAACCCAGCTTATAAATCTGACATCCTAACCAGGCTTCCTATTGTGACTATGTAAACAGTACTGACAAGTAAATGTGCAGTGCATGGTGTTCAACATTTGTTGCTTCCAAGACTCTGTTTTTCCATCTCCCCCTGAATTTTGAGGGAGGGAAAGGGGCCTTGTGGATTCAGGACTTGGGGATGGTTGTCTTGGCCTCTACAACTTGTTACTTTCTGCTCAGTGATAACTTCTAACATTCAGTATGACGTGGCCACTCGTTTTATTTATTTATTTGTTTGTTTGTTTGTTTGTTTATTTAAATATATCTTTATTGATTTCAGAGAGAGGAAAGGAGGGGAGAGAGAGAGATAGAAACATCAATGATGAGTCATTGATCAAGCCCGCAACCGGGCATGTGCCCTGACCGGGAATCGAACCCCGATCGCCTGGATCCTAGGTCGACGCTCAACCGCTGAGCCATGCCCAGCCGGGCTGGCCACTCATTTTAATGTGCCAGGTATAGTACTAGCTACTGAAAATACAAAAACTGGTCCCAGGAAATATTCACATTACATTTATTTGACAAAGGACTTATTCAGTATGTATAAAGAACTGTTATCACTCAGTATGTATAAAGAACTGTTATCACTCAATAGTAAGAAGACAAGCACCCAATAAAAAACAGAGATTTCACATAAGACATGCAAACGGCCAACAAGCATATGTTCAACAACCTTACTCACTAGAAAATGCAAATTAAAACAATGAGATACTATTACATGTCCACTAAAATGGCTAAAAAAGATGGACAATAGCAAATGTTGGTGAAGATGTGGAGCAATTGGAATTCTTGTATGTTGTGGGTGGGAATGTAAGCTGACACAGCCTGTTTGTACAATACAAACATACTCGGCAGTTTCTTATCAAGTTAGCATACACTGCCTCTATGATCCAGAAATCCCACTCCTAGGATTTCCCCAGGATAAATAAATACATATGACCACAAGAAAACTGTATATGAATATTTACAGTAGCTTTATTCATAATGGCCCCAAGCTGGAAACAACCCAAATGTCCATCAACAGGCAAACGGACAAACTGTGGGTATCCATAAAATAGAATACTACTCTGCAATGAAAAAGAAAAATCACTAACATATGAAACAACATGAATGCTAAGTAAATCCATTTACATGAAGTTATAGGATAAACAAAAATAATCTACAGTGAAAGAAAGGTCATTGCTGCCTGGGATGGGGAGGAGGGCTGTTGACTACAATGGGACAGGAGGGAAATTGTCTAGGTGTGAGGAGATGTTCTATATCTTGATTGTGGTCATGGTTACACAGGTGACACATCTGTCAAAACTCATGTACACTAAGAACAGGCCTTTTTGTATGTAAGCTATCTTTCAGTAAAAAGAATGTGTTAAAACAAATTATTGTCGTCAAAAGGAAGCTCACAGATATCTCAGGAGTTCCTTTCAGTATGGCTGTGGTGTGTGCTTGCCTTTCTTTGTTCCTCAGCTCTGACTGTCCCATAGGAATATGAGGTACCCACTGAGAAGTGGGAGAATGAACAGTCCTTCTCACAGGGCAGCGAGATGATGGAAGGTGAATTCATAAAACCATGGCATGGCCCTCTGCCTCTATTCTGATAGTTGTGAGGTGCTGCTCAGGCCAGATCACTCTTTCTCAGGTTGAGGGACTGACTGTAGGAGACTCAGAAGATTCAGCAGATTTCGTTGTTCCCCAGAGGCACCCTGATCTGGTAAAGGCACCCACACAATTGAGGCAATCATTTTTGTTTCCAAAATCCTGAAAAATCTATGATTTGGTTCAAAGAACAAACCAGGCCAATGCGACATTCAAAGTAGTGGTCCCCACCCCCCTTTTCACTAACTGGGTTTTCTTAAAGCTTACATTTAAGACTTAAGTGGTCGTGCAAGTTTTTGTTGATTATAAGGCCCCTCTTCTTCTTCATGGTTTCTGAGAACTCCTTTGTTGGTTTTCAATCAGTGTGCATATAGCAGGCAGGAAAAAATATTTCAAGTATTCGAGCAGCCCAGTGTTTCTGGACAAGCTCATCCTCGCTCCCTGCTTTCTCTAGTGCTTTCCATTTAGTTCAATCCGCTCCCAAAACAGGTAAGCCTATTAAGAGCCCGTGGGGAGGGAGATAGCATAAAACACTTGAGATTCCTCTCTCCCCTTTCTGCGGAGTTATGAGGAGGGGATACACAGATGTGGCCATGGAGGGTTTTATAATAAGAGGGAAAGGAGGCTGGGGTGATTGCATTTTGCCTTTTCCCACAAATGTGCAAGATTACATGATGGAATGAGCTTCACTGTACCGGGAAACTAATAATAGTCCCCACAGCTCTCCTTGCACATGAGCAAAGATGCCATATGTACAAGGACATTCATTGCAGCACTACCTCCAACAGCAAAAAACTGGCAATACTGTTCATCAGCAAGGGACTGGTGAAAATAAATTATGGTGTGCTGTACAATAGAATACTGTGTCACAGACACTGGCATGGAAAGGCATCTGAAATACGTCATTAAGTGCAATGAGCAAGGTTAAGAACAGAGAGTCTAATATGGTACAGGGAGAGGGGCTGGGACAGAGACATAGGGAGGATGACTTTTCCCTCTACATCTTTTTGTAAGTTTTGATTTCTGTACCATAGTATGTGTTACATGTAAACAAACATGCAAGGTATTATGGTTAAAGACGAGAACATGATGGAGCAATAAAGAGCTCATTCTGGGTATGTGGGTGCTACATTCTGGGTATGTGGGTGCTACATACCTTAAACGGAGGTCAGCAGTGGACATAATTCAATGGATTACACTGGGTTTTTGCCTCATGCACCCAGATCTTACACTCCAGTTACATGGTACCTTTCCTAGGAGACTATTGGCACCCCTCCACCACTTCTTGGCTGGTAAACAATTGCAGGGACTCATCCCCATTTTGTGGATTGGAAATAAGATTGGGAAAATAAAAAGTGCTCTTCCCATCATGACTGAACGCTAGCAGAAGACATTCAGCTCATATTTCCAAATGTCCTCCGTGCACCTGCCTCTGGGTGGGCTCATCCCCAACCCAAATCAGCTCTACTGTTCTTTCCTCTATCCTCTTAATAACCTGCTCGCAAACCTGCTTTGTGCTGCCAGAGCTGTGAGCTTGCTTTGCTCATGAACAAAACCACTTTCTCCTGGCAGCTGGCAGTTGTGGATGAAAAATATTTCACTTCATCTAACCTATTGTTACTTTTGGCAGAGAAGCAAGCTGGTTAGTGGTGGCATCTCAACAATGAGGACATTGGGCCAAGCCCCACTGTGTTGTCAGTTGAAGAATGAACATTTGAGAAACAGGAGATCCAGAGAGCCACTTGGAGAGTGGCGATTGTGTCTCACTAGTTCTTTAGGATGTCCAAGCACTATGTTGGATTTAGTGGTTTCTCAGAGTTCATTGAATTGCTTAGGCTGGAAGGAAGGGGCTTTCATGATCACTAGACTATGAACCCCATTAGCACTTAGGTCTCATCACTTAATGCTGTGGCCTCAGTACTTAAGTACGCTGTACACAGAAGGTATTCAATAAATATTTGTTGATTGACTGATTCCAGTCCCAGTTCATATGACTCTGGGTTTGGATCCACACTGCCTAAAAGTAAGTCATCACAGTGGTTAAAAATTAGTTATGTTTCTTTGTACACACACACACACACACACACACACACACACTAATTCAACACAACTGGAAATTATGAGGCGCTAAGTACACGATGATCTCCATAAGACCAGGGATTTCGGTCTGTTTTGTTCTCTGGGGTGTCCCAAGTGTGTGCCATGCTGCCTGACACACAGAGGCACCAGTCACTATCTGATGAATGTATACATGTGATGATAAAATACTAAAAATCAAAATATTTACTTACCGACATATATTGCTGCACACCATTCACAAATTTGGGTCCAGCCTCTTTCCTTAAATTGATCAATTTTGAGAGATGCTCATAAGCCACAAATTCATTGAAGAATGTCTTATAACCTAGGAGTTTGGCAACCATAAAGCTGTCCTGCCAGTCCACTCCCATCATGAAGGAGAGGGGCATGAAGATGTAGGAACATATTAGCTACAAAAACCAAAAATAGACAGTTTATTATAGTAAGCTTCTGCCTCAAGCTTGTGACAAGATTGTTCCTGCCCATTCTGTGTTTACTTGAGACATAGACATCCCTTCATACACCCTTGCCCTAGGAATCAAGGTTGGATTTGGTCATTTGAAGTAATCTGGATTCTTGGGATGGGGTCAGGAGAGAATGACTGAATGTTGGGGGAGGAGAGTGATAAGAGATGGGGTGGGACAATGGGGAGATGGGGGATACACTATAAGTGTGTACATTAGGTAGAAGTATACTATAGGCAGTTAGGGAAGGCTGTTCACAAACCTATTTTATTTTTAAACAAAGATAGGCAGGAATAAAACAGAGGAGGAACATGGCAGAATTATACCTCGAAACTTAGTTGTGGGTATTCGAGCATGTTTCCGAACCAGGACAGGGCCGAGTTCACAAAAGACAGCAGGGCTATGAAGGCAATCAGATTCACAGCGATGTTTGCCACCAGAGGGATGGATGAAGAGGCTCCCTGCGTTGCAGCTTCTAGGAGATTCCTTGAATCACTTTATCAAATAATAGCAGTCACAGAATTACCAAGGAGTTGTGCACAGATGGATATCACATGTATGGAAATGGCCTAATTAGAGCTCATGTGGATGGAGAAACCAACTCTCAGGCCCATGCCTGAGTCAAAATACTCCCCTGAAGTCTATGAAGTCATGATGGCATTTGTAATTGTTGAGTGTAGGTGATCTGTTATACTACTCTTTTAATATGGGGTCATTTATAATTAAAAAAATTAGGAGAAGGTAAAAATTTAGGTTTTAAAAACTTTATTTAATTAAAATAGCTATCAAAGAAATATTTATAAAATATTCAAGGTATAAGAACTAACAGTTCAAGGAAGGTCTTACTATCTGTGACCTCATTTGAGAAATGGGAATATCACCATCACCTTTGAGTCCCACCCTCCTGCTCTTTCTTCATCTCAGCCTCTCCTCTCTAATCTCAGAAGTACCTGCTGATCATTCCCTTTCTTTTTAATTTTCATACTTGTCTGTATCCCTAAATAATATGTTGTATAGGTTTATACATTTGCTGACTTTATAAGTGGAATCGTACATGTTTCATATATACACTTGACAACTTGCTTTTCACTCATGGTTAAGACTTTACCTACGTACAAACAAGGGATGAATCTCAAAGACATGTTGGTTGATTAATTCTGTGATTTTATGAAACACTCTTGAACATCCTAAATCCCTTAGTCTTTTCCACACTTTTTTCTTTTCCAGAGAGCCAAATAAAATGAACCAACAAGGGGTGAAGGATACTTATATCGCACTGTCTCTTCCCTATTATGTAAGAAACTTCTAGAAATGGTTATCCTATGGCTTTCCAACGGTCTTAAACCAAAGCTCAATGAACACTATACTATATTTAAAGTGAAATATCTACATCGAACAGTTGAGGATATGTATTGACATTTAGGTATTTAGAAAGGTTTTCCTCCAGTATGGAAACAAGATTTTTGGGGTGATGTCTAAATAGTTACTGGGAAATTAAATTCAGTTTACTGCCATAATTCACTGGCTCTCTGATGATCACCTTTTTGTTGTACTTGAATTTGGGCCCCCCACCCCCACCCCTCTGGCTGTGTAGTCATGAACTAGGTGATATGTTCCACGTACCCGTTTTCCATTTTCATGGCATTCTTGAGGGTTATTTTAGGTGTTTCTGTCTCAGGCCAAAAGAGTTTAGCAACAGCCAGTGAGGCCGGTGCCGACATAACTGAAGCCGTTAACAAGTGGGTGGACGAAACCTGTGGTTTCAGGAGAAAAAAAGGCCAACTTAGGTATAACTTTTCTGTCGTGTTCAGAATGAAGGACCCAAAAGCCTTACAAGGGAAAAGATGGGCAGGAACCGATTCTATACCAGAAAACAATGTTTCTTTGGAGGCTTGGAAGAGCTCACTAAGCCAGGTCAACATCACCTTGAGAGTCAGAGGGAGAAGAGAGAGATTTGTGTGAATTAATCACATCCTCAGGGAGAAGCATGGAACTAGTCCGATCATTTCAGAAAAGAATTAATCCTGCACTGTAGGAACTTTCAGAGAAGCTCCTCCACCTCTCTGTTGCCCTCTTGAATGTTCAAACAATCTCTGACTCCCATGTTTCATTATGTCATCAGTTTAGATGGGGCTATTAGGGGGTGCAGGCATGGGCACACCCCTCTTTATCTTTCTTCTACTTTCCTGAAAGCCTTTGTACCTTTACATAATATTGATTTATCCAGAGTCTCTTTAGTCTGTAAGCTATTTCTGTTTTCCTTACTGCTGGCCTGCTTATAAACTCTTCCCTCTCTCCTCCCCACACCTTATTGTGTCTGGATTCTCATCTCCCGTAGTTTCAGGGTTCTAGAATCGTCACCTCTCTCCCTACTCCCATCTGGGGATCTGGTCACACTGCTATTCCTGAGGTCTCCTTGCCTCTTTTCGTCTTCTCCCTTTTTACTGATTAGCTTCCCAAGGCCCAGATGAAGTCCTGGACTGAAACATGCCTATCCTGAAGAATTCCTAATTGCTGGGCCACACAGCTGCTGTGTTATTCCATTTCTCCACTGGGGTTGCATCTGTGTGCAGCTTGTAAGCTCTATGCTTGGGGCACTTGCACCAGTTATCATAATGTTCTCCAGTCCCATACCATAGGCCGCCAGCTCTCAAACTGGGCTGTACATTGGAATTTGAGGAGTTTAAAAAATATATTGATGTTTGGGTCTCATCCCATGAGATTCTGGTTTAATTACTCTGGGCTTGGGCACGAGGGCTTCTAATAACTCCAGGGTGATTCTCATGTGCAGTAAGGCTTGAGAACCACTACCCTAGGCCAGGGGTCAGACAGCATTTTCTATAGAGGGCGAGGGAATAAATATTTTTGGCTTTGAGGCTACAATTATTCAACTCTGTAGCATGAAAGCTGCCATAGAGAAACAAATGGGAGTAGCCAATTTCCAATCAAATTTCAATTACAAAAGAAGGGAGTGATCTAGATTTGGCCCATTGGCCCTACTTTGCTGACTCCTGGTCTGGATTGCCTCTACTAATGTCAGTAATAGTTTTATTTATTTTTATCAAAATTTAAATTTTCAGTCCAAGTAGCCTCATAATATTGTTTCATTCTGTTATGGTTGGATATAATTCACATTCAGGTGGCAGGGATATGAAAATGAAGCCCAGAAAAGATCACTCCATTCAAATGCCACAGGAACTGTGACCAACAATACAGCAAAAAGGATACTCTTTTGTCCTCCTTATCTAGCAGCAATGGGAAAGAAAAAATAATAATAATAGCAAAGAAAGAAGAGGTTATATTTTCTAGAAATTAATCCCAAAACATTCTTACCCCAAAAGAAATGTATGCACCTAAGACACTTCCAGCAATGGTAGCGAACCCAGCGGTCATAATTGCGTGGAGTTCGGACTTGGTGATGTATGGTAAGTACGGTCGGACCAGCAGCGGGGACTCCGACTGGAAATGAAGAGCCACCAGATTAAACATTCCCTTTTAAATTTTGGTGGTCTATGACAATCTACTGAAATTTCCATTCTCTAAATGCAGTATATTATGCTAAGTGAAATAAGCCAGTCAGAGAAAGAAAAGTACTACATGATCTCACTCATATGTGGAATATAATAAACAGAATAAACTGATGAATAAAATAGATCCAGAGACATAGAAGCATGGAACAGACTGAGGGATCTTAGAGGGAAGGCGGGGGTGGAGAAGTGGGTGGGGAGAGATCAATCAAAGAACTTATATGCTTATAAGCATAACCCATGAATACGGACATTGGTGTGGGGAAGGCCTGGGGGTGGGGTAGGTGCAGGGTGAAGGGGATCAGTGGGGGAAAAGGGGAAAATATGTAATACTTTCAACAATAAAGATAAAAGAAAAACCTTAGAATATTTCTTTTATTTACGTGGAACCCTATTTATTTATTTATTTATTCATTCATTCATTCATCTTTATTGTTGCAAGTATTACAAGATGTCCCCTCCTTTTTTCTCCTCATTGACCCCTTCTACCCCACACCCACCCCCTGTCCTAGGCCTTGAGTGGACCTCAGACCAGCTCTATCAGCATCACCTGGGAACTTCATAGACAAGCAAATCCTCAGGCTTACTGAATCAGGAACTCTGGGGGTGAGGTCAACAGCCTGTTTTAACAAGCCTTCCAGGTGGTTCTGATGTATGCTTGAGTTTGAGGGCCTCCTCAAACTCAATGACAGGTGTCTGGGTCACTTGAACTCCAGGTCGGTGTGCTTATGGTATAGAGTCATGTGTTTGCAAAGTTCACAAGGCCAATTCACATAAGCCCCCCACCCAGCCTAGGACTGGATTCTGATGGTCGTGTACACTTTCCTAAGGTGGGAACATCCTTGGCCAAGTAACTCCACCCACTGGCCTGGCCTTGCGAATTGTGATTCCCAAGCCTCTGTGACTTCCCATCTTCCAGTTTCATTCCACAGACCCTATACCACTTTGCTGACACCACAGGGAAATAGAGACACAAGTATGAAAAAATATGAGCAATAACAGGGACAGGGGCCCACAGGCCCTTTTCTCACTGAGAATCAGAGACCGCTCCTCTTCCCCTTGGGAGGAAAGGAATTGGAGAGGGTATAGTTGCAAAGGCTTGAGTCAAATTAAGGAGAGCTGGAGCCTCCAGCATGGGGCTCTCCATAAATAATAGCTGTACTTTTAGCATGTTAAGTACCAAATTGAGCACCACAGAAGCACGTGTGCAATTTTACAATTTCCCCCTCATTATTTCTAATTGTTCTATAAGATTGAATGTGTTGAGCTTCAATTTATGGGCTAAATTGAAACTCAGTACATGAGTCCTCTTACCCCGCAGGTAGCAGTAATCAACTCAAGATGGTGCCGTAATTAGTCCTGAGAGATTTTATGGCTATAATGATAATAATTTCAATTCCTAGGGAAGGAATATGGGCCCTGCTCTAAAGACTCTGCTGCAGGCTAGCAGGTTGGGCTTACCCGATACGAAGGCCCAGTCTGTCTGGAGCAGCTGTAAGCCTAGGATTTGGGGCCATGTGTTTTCCTGGCTGACTTTTTGCTTCAAATCCTGTTTCCTCGAGCAGCCCTGAGAGCAAGCTTTGGTGCTGGGCTTCTGCGGTGCCGGGCTGTTCTGCCTGGAGCTACACATCCTGAATACCGAGGATGGCCGTTACCGTTTCTTACTTATCCACCCCTCAGGGATGCTGCTGTTTTGAGAGGTACCCCTTGGCATCGTTTCCCCCCTTCTTTTCCTTAAATGGACATCGATCCATGTGAAGGGTCAGGGAGGTGAAAATGTTTCTGTCCACTGGCATTTTTCTTTAGGTTCAGCAAAGACAGACTGTGGGCCAGTTGGGAAAAGCGAGAAGGAGCTCAGGTGCTCACACGGCTGCAGCTGTTGGCTGAAAGCCTGTCTTGGTCTTGTCGGTTACCATGGGCACCATGCTGCAGGATGGGCGCCTGCCTGCGCCCGCTCTCAGCTTCGAGATAAAGGGTGAACTCCCTGGGAGGGAGTGAGCTGCTAAGCCTCTGAAAGGTGAGCCAGAGACCTCAACAGTTCAATAATTTCAGAAAAGCTTTACTGAGAATCTATACATGAGAAGCCCAATGCTTTGATGAAATGACTCAGTCTTTCTTCCTGTCCGTAAACTTTCAGGAACCCAAGTACCACATTAGTGCACTGAGACTCTTGGAAGGGACCTCAATCTCTCCCCCTCTCTCTCTCTCTCTCTTTCTCTCTCACACTTTTTTTTCTCTTTCTCTGCAATCCTGGACATTGTTGATACTGAACATTTTCTATTTTGACACCCTTCCCCTTACACTAAAAGAAATAACAGTAATTTTTAAATTCCATTTTCTGAGAAGCGTATCCTTAAATGTAAGCAGGTGTTTTGTTTTATTTTTTAATATTACAACTTACCTGTCCGACGAATATATTGCCAGCAGCAACTACAGATTCAATAGGAGATGATCCCATAGTAACTAGCATTATCCATCCAACCTAAATGGGAAAAGTCAATGAAGAACTATTTGTATACACACAAGACTTCAAAGCAGGGATAAAAATATTTAAACTGGAGGGAAATGCTGCGACCTTCAGCAGTTGCTGGCAGGCAGTGATGGTGCTACATGTGAGAGTATCATATCTAGTCCACACAGCAGGCAGATCAAATCCTCCTGTTTGAGCTGTAAGTCTGAGTCTTTGTATATACTTTGAACATTATACTAATGAATGTTGAAATATTGTAAATAGTCATGCAGGCTTTACGGCATTCCAAGGACTGCCTTAAATCCTTTGTCCAAATAATGCATTTAATCCTCATAATAACCCTTTGAAGGAGGTCCTAAAATTATGCCCATTTAATTAATTAATTAATTAATTTTATTTCTTATTTTTTTGGTTAATCCTCACCTGCGTATATTTTTTCCATGATTTTTTTAGAGAGACTGGAAGGGAGGGAGAGGGAGGGGGCGGAGGGAGAGAGAGCAACATCAAGGTGACAGAGATACATCGATTGGTTGTCTCCTACACATGCCCAGACTGGGGNGTCCAAATAATGCATTTAATCCTCATAATAACCCTTTGAAGGAGGTCCTATAATTATGCCCATTTAATTAATTAATTAATTTTATTTCTTATTTTTTTGGTTAATCCTCACCTGCGTATATTTTTTCCATGATTTTTTTAGAGAGACTGGAAGGGAGGGAGAGGGAGGGGGCGGAGGGAGAGAGAGCAACATCAAGGTGACAGAGATACATCGATTGGTTGTCTCCTACACATGCCCAGACTGGGGCCAGGGAATGAACCTGCAACCCAGGTACATGCCCTTGACCAGGAATCAAACCTGAGACCCTTTGGTACATCAGCTGATGCTCTAACCACTGAATCACACTGACCAGGGCGATGCCCATTTTATAGTAGAGGAAACTGAGGCACAGACAATTTAGTTGTTTTGTAAAGATCACCCAGCTACTAAGTAGTGGCATGTAGTTGAGGTTTGGCCTTTCCTACTTAACTCAAATGAACATAGTTTATGGTCCCACTTTTGTACTGGTCCTTCCAACCAGAGCCTATGGGGCCCACCTCAGGATGAGGACTTCCAATTGTATTTTCTCTCTTTTCTGCTTAGACAGGAGCACAGTAATTCTGAATGTTTAAATAGATAATCAGATAATTATGGGCCCTGTCACTCTTGCTGAAATTCTGAATTCTCCTGGTATTCTGGTTTTCTCTCTCTCTCTCTAGATCCATTTTATTTATTTACAGGGATCAAAAGAGGGCTGTGACTGTGCCAAGGCCCTGTATGTACTGCCTTGCTCTCATGTACATTCAAAATATGTTACAAATTTCCTAGGTTGTTTTTTTTTAAGTTTTAATCTTCACTGGAGGGTATTTTTCTCATTGCTTTTACAGAGAGAATGGACGGGAAAGAGAGAGAGACAGAGAAACATTGAGAAACATCAGTGTGAGAGACACACATTGATTGGCTGCCTACCACTCACACCCCAGACAAGGGCTGGGGATCAAGCCTGCAACCCAGGGACACGCCCTTGGCTGGAATCGAACTGGGAACCCTTACGGTCCGGGGGCTGACACTCCAAGCACTGAGCTGAACCGGCCTGGGCAATTTCCTAGTTTTTAAATCTAACATATGAGAGTGTAGGACTGACAGTTGCTGGGGCAGCAGGAATGATGAACTTTTCACACTTTAATGCAAAAACTGTGTGCTTATTAAACTCCCCCAGGAGCAAAAGCTGCTTTCCCTTTTCTCNAACTCCCCTAGGAGCAAAAGCTGCTTTCCTTTTCCTCCTTCTTGCTTTGATTCTCTAGCAACTACTAGACCAGGGGCGCACACTTTTGTGGCCTCCTCTGTTTAAGACACTGAGTGGACAGCCAGAGTGAAGAAACAATGCTGCTTCCCCGGCAGGTGTCTGACCTGCTTGAATCAAGTCTTTGGCTTAAAGAAGTAATTGCTAATAGAAGTCCCTGAGATAAAATTTCCTCTATGGAAACTTGGGATTTTGGGCGTTTCAATCCATTAAGTTGGACGGTGGTGGATCTTGGTACAAAGAGAAAAGTACTTGGAAGAACCTGGATAAAAGGCATGCAAGACTTTGTCTCTGAAAGAATCCAGCTTTTCACCTGTCACCCAATCCCTTCCAGTCCCGGTACCTTTCTAATGATCCACTGCATCAGTCCGAGGTAGTAGAGCATGGACATGACAGTGCTGAAGAAAACCACGATTGGCAGGATCTGGGCGTGGAGTGGGGATGAAAGTGATCACCGGTGAATGCTGGCCCCAGTAGTGTTAGTAGGTATCAGATCAGTCTCCTTTCTGCCTCCCTTCCCCCCTTGGAGATATCATAACAATAGTAGAAACTCCTCTTGAACTAAATAACACTTTTATTGGGCAGCTTCTCCATTGACTGTCTCTTATTCTAACTTGTTCTGGGTAAGCTTGAGTATATTTCATAGGAAACTTGACATTTTTTTCCCTGCTATGATGAGTTCTTCTTACTTTACTTTCTCAGAGAAGAAATGAAGTTTTAGGGGAATTTGTAATAACTAGATCAACAAACTGAAGGTTCTGATATGAAACAGACATGGATGACACCACTCACTAGCAGAGTATCCTGGGTGAAGTCTATGTGTGAGCAACCTAAGACCCTTATTCATAGTGGTAAGTGCTTAGTCACTGTGCCTCCTGTAGAGTAAGCACTCATTCATTTAGCTTTTAAGGTAATTATTTTACTTATAGATTTCTGAATCACTAAAATGATTAAACTTGGGAAACTAGTTAACTTTTGTGATAACAAAATGTTGCCTTTTTCTAGATCCTATTTTCCTGATGCTCTTTGGGTGCCTTCAGTGCAGCCTGTGGGTCTGCAGAGATCACACAGAGCTGTGGTCTGCCACCCTCTGCACTCCCAAACCACCGCACCCCTCCAAGCCCTCTGCTCCCCAGATAAATGGCCAGGGATAAGCCGCCACCAGAGGCACAGAATGACTGAAGACAATTTGTACAAGATCTAATTTAGAAAAATCTATTAATAATAGATATTAAAAGACATTCTGTGCCATTATTGAGGGCTCACTCATCTGCTTTTATTGGCTTTAATGGGCAGGCAGAGCCTTCCTGAGAGCTTCAGGGAGCTGGAGGGGTTCATCTCTTGAATGTTCCCACAGAGATTTCGCTTTGGCAGAGGGGATAGAGGTTGCTGCCCCCAGGGGGCAAGATCTGAAGACACTCAGACTGTCTGGACAGCAAGTTACTTCTTCCTTGTGACTCTTTTTTCCAGTTCTTAATTAAATTCATGATATGAGCACATTTCGATCTCAATTTATAAACACTTGACCTTTCCAAGATGGCTTCATTATCTCAGCCTCAAAGCATCAAATCAACAGTTTAAAAAATCAGCAGTTTAAACAAAGATTCACCATTAAGAGTGGGCCTCACTGTTGTTGGGGTACTTTTGGAGGTAAATTTGGAGTCCCTAAGTGAGCAAACAATTTAGAAGTGTAGGGACAATAACACACCACAAAAAATAAAGCTGAAGAAAAAGCCGTGTGTATCTTTCTGACTCATCAAGGATCTATAAGGATTTCCCAGAGGAAGATGGGCTTCCTGAGGCTTGTGAGAGCCTTGGGAGGGAACCCATTAGGCCTGGCCACGGGGCCAGCTTGCTTTTCTCCTGTAGAATACCGTCCCTCTTTTGGTGGGGAGAAGACCCAGCCTCCAGGCTTGCGCAAGCAAAGGCTGTGCTTAAGGAAAGATGGCAAAGATTTAGCATGGGGATGGTTCTGGAAGAACGGAGGTTGATGTGGGTGGCCGCTATCCTGGTTTGCTTGTGACTGAGGAGTTTCCCGAGCACAGAGCTGTCACTGACCCTGGACATAGAAGCCATTAGTGGCCTATTCACTGCCAGGTAGGTACTTAATGCTCTTTCCCCTAAAATCTCAGATACTATTACCCCATATGATTTTCCTAAGTATCTCAGGCAATCTACAAGCACACCCACAAAGGAGTCTTTTAATATTGCTGTCTTTCTCTAGATGTTTCCCTTAATGCTATAGTAACAAAGTAAATGTTTGCAGTCCACTGACTTCAGATATCATTGTAAATGAAAAAGGGCAGTAATATGCTATGCGTCTATGACATGCACCTGGTTTCTGTTCAGTTAGGTTCTATCTGAACAGCTACAAAGACTAAGATGTTACCAAAAAGAAAGAGACTACACACAGAAAAGGGAGTTTGGCTTTACCTTAAATGCAAAGAAGTGGTCTGTGTATTTCTCACCAAAGACAAAGGAAGCCCCAGCATTAGTGTATTCCAAGAATGTCTGAGTTGAAGACAGGAAAAGAGAAGATCATTACAGTCACTGAAGTGGTGGTTACAATTCACAGGACCTACCAGGCTCTGCAGAGGGTGGGGACCCAGCAAGCTTGTTGGATTTACTTGGAAAGTTAATAGCTCAGCCCCAACTCCTCCAGTGGATGGCATGGAAGTGTATTTTTGAACTCTATATACAAATTTCCTGTAATTTCTGACATTTGATCTGAGTCCAGAATGGTCAAGAATGAGCCAGGTGTGGAAAATTGTTCCAGCAAATTATAGATGGCACATAAGTGGCACCAGTTATTGCTAGATGCAAAGAAAGCCTGTTTCTTTTTTGTTTGTGGAACCATTTAAAAGCGTGACACCCTTTGAGCAGAATAAAGGGGGCAATCAGGATAGGGTGTGATGTAGCGGATGATATGAGTAAGGGACAACCATGGTATTAATAAGCTGGCAGATTAACATACTCTACATAAACAAAATAATTTGTTTAACTCATGTTACAGAATTAAAATTTGGGTCAGCTAATGCAGACAAATACACCTGTTTCTGACATGTTAAAAGCATTATAATAGCAAGGTGCTTATTTGAACCCAACTTACCTGAACTTGTTTGCCCAGCCAATCAAAGGCTATAAATCCAGGCTTAGTCCTTAGTATTAAGAGCCCAAGAAGAAACTGTAACCCAATTCCCCAAAAGACAGGCCTCCAGTAAACCTGTATAGAAAGATGAAGAGATATATCTTATTAGAAAATGAATGCTGAACTCAGCATCAATGCCCAAATGATCACTATTTCCTTGGAAGCTTCTTTCATGTAGCCTGTGACCCACCTTCTGTGGGAGGCCAAAGCAGCCATGAGCAGAGAATCCCTTGATAGAATCAGACCCAAACATATCGGGGTTGCAGTTCCCCTTCCTAATCACAAGTGTGAAGACTTCAGTCCCGGGAGAGAATGCAACCATTATGTCATGATAAAATAACTTAGACACAAGAGTTGTCTTAGAGGGGCCATTAAAGGAGGAATGACCTGGCCTTCCTAGCTGCGCTGTTCAGATTAGATACGTGCCATTATTTTCCCTGCCTGGCAAATGGAAAGGCAGAACATGACTTCTCTGTGTGCCCAAGGTTTGTTGTTCTGACAATTTGTAAGTGAATTAAGTGAAATTCCACCCTGTTGAGGGGCTCTCATTTCACTGTGAAAGGCACCAATTAACTCTAATGCAGACCGGGGGAGTGCAGCGGTAATGGACAATCACCTGCTTTCATTTTTGGTGCAGCGATGAGTGGCCTGCAAAGAACTGTGGGATTGGAGGCATAGTACACAGTGGAGACAGTCACCAGAACAGGGCAAAGAAGTGGGACCATATTAGCTGCCTCTTTTTATTCCTTGAGTCAACCTTCCAGCCAGTAAAGTCTTCCAGAGTTTGCCGATATGAGTCATGCAAAAGCTTCAATGTTTCAGAATTCTTGCCTATTTAATGGGTTATAGGCTGACAGAACAAGGACGAGAATTGAATTCCATGTGAACAAAACTGTTTAAGGACAAAGTTTTGGAGTAAAATAGCCTAAATTGCAAATGGAAATTTGATAAAGTGTGGAATTCAATGGCAGAATATTAGATTATTTGCCGGTCTGAGGAGATCTGGATCAAAATGGATGAGTTTTCTTTGTATGTGTGTTTCAGCGGGGAGGTGGGGTATGTGAGTATCAATTGGACTTGACAGGAGAAAACATCTCACTGGTTGTGTAACTGAAAAATCACTGAGAGTGAAAATGAGAGCGTGTACAATGGAAGTTCAGGAAGATGGGTGCCTTAGTTATCTAAAATATCATAGCAAGGTAATACAAATATTCAATAATAGTTCAATTCTCTCACACTCGTTAATTTGAGCAATTTACACATGAGAAAAAAAGGGGTACCCAAAAAAGATCAATTTCATACTTACTTTGGTTGGGTATTTGGAAAATAGAAATAGCAGGATAATGTACATGATGAGCCCACCGAAGGACACCAGTTGCTGCTGGCCCAGTTTGGCGGTATCAAAGATCAGCCAGAAGATAATCCCCAGGATCAGTGAGCTCCAAATCACCCTAAGAGACCAGGAAAGGGGGCATTGGCGTCACTTGCTGTGCTAACTTGAAAATCTCAATCAGGCTTAAACTACCAAACAAAAAGATATTAACAAGAGTAACACATCCTGGCACCAGGAAGTTGTGCTTCTAGAAATTGCAACAGATCCTCTTTGTTTGTGGTTAAAAAGGGGAATAGCCAAAACATTAAGCAACGTGTCTCCACAAAGCTTGGGCTCTTTGCTGGTTCAAGGATATATAAAGGGGTCAGAGAGTAGAAAGGATGTTTGGAGAGAGAAGTCTGGTGATTTCTTTGAGAGACCTACTGGGAGTCCTCACCTCTGTTTTGGGAGATGGCTGAGGTGTTGCCTTTTAAGAGAGAACTTGAAATGTGCTCTCCACAGTTGAGGGAACTTAGCTGCGTCTAGAGAGCTAAGTTGGACTTTAGACTGGGTTCTGACTCCATGGGGAATTTGGCAGGTATTACAAGTCTGAGTCATGGTTTGGATGGCAGAGCCAGAAAGGGTGCTGTGTTGGTATTGCACAATCCTGGTTTATTAGGTCAAGGATGTGTGAAGTTTCCTACTAGATCCCATGTGGGCCATGCTGGGGCAGACCCACGCTGGATCCTAACCAGTAGGGCCACCTGGAGGGAGAGGAGGCCCCACAGATAGAGACTGAGGGAAAAGCCCTGAGTGGTCACCTGCAGGACACAGGTCCTATAGGAAAAAGTTAGCTTTAGTTATTTATAGAATTTTCCTCCCAGGGAAGCCAGAGCAGGAAGCCACCTCCCCAAATAGAATCGTCCCATGTTTTGGATAACATTTTTTCATTTAGTAGCACTTGAAATTAAGGTAGTTTATAGGGACAATTGAACACATCTCAAATGAGTCATTGCCTTATCTAAGCCTTGATTTCCTCTTTGTAAAATCAAGGCATTTTAACAGATTATCCCCTAGGTTGTTTCTAGCTGCAGTATTCCATAAATGCGGAAGCAATTTCAGAACAAATCTTTGAAACAGTGTTGGAAAAAACACCCCTCTCAACTGTAATAAGAGAACCAACTGCATTTACCACTTCAGCCAGAACCAATGGCTGTCTAGAAGTCTTCTGCCAGGAGATAGGAACTCATCAATTCGATGTTCATATTTGGCCATAAAGTGATCCCAGATCACAAAGAAGATGGCAACCACGGTGATCACGAAAAGAGGAAGGGCTCTGTGAAAATTCAGCACACAGGCTGCAATCACCATGGCCAGGTAACCTGTCCAGGAAGCAAAGGCAGACAGCGAACATCACCAACACTGGCTGGAGACCGGCCTTCAGCACTGATCTGGCTCAGCCAAGGGCAAGTTCAGTGAGCAAACCACTGAATAAAGGAGTGCTCTTCATATTCTTGGTATGGCTATTGTCTCCTCTGATTATAATTCACCATGAATGCCACAAGAACAAGATGCTAGGGCTTTTTTTCTTATAGAATCTTCTGAGTTCTTGAATCTTGATGCTTGACCACTGAGCCTCTCACTTAGTACTAATCACCTTTTTCTGGTATCCAGTCAGACCCAGCAGGTGAAAGCCCAGGTGTTGAAACAACCACTGGCAAAAAGATACCAATTCATCTGGTTTGCAGCTCAGATTTGGCCTAAGCTTGAGTAGCAAAATCTCTAAGGGCAACAGAAACTCTAATGGAAAGTGGTGGGGTAGTGAGCAAGGTGGCTGCTTTTGAAAAGGAGATTCTAGAATAAGAACAACAAGTTTTCCCATTAATGGTCAGCAAACACGGTTTTGTTTGCAAGGTAAATTTGGCTTGCCACTTGTTTTTGTAGGTAGCAAGTACAGTTGTATTTGTATATCAGTATTTGTATTCTATAAATAAAGTTGCCTGGGAACACAGTCATGCATGTGCTTTTGTACTATGAAGGCAGAGATCTGTGGTTCTGATGTATGGCTTGCAAAACACTACCTAGCCCAGTTCAGAGGAAATTTACAATCTTGCTATTCCCTGTTCCGGTGGTGTGAACACCAGCAAAACCACTGCCCATGAGGGTGCAGCAGCCTTGGATTAGTATCTGTGGGCTTGGGTGGTAGGGTTCACGTTTCATAGACGGGTATTCTTTAAAATGGATGGATCCCTTTGCTTTGGAGGAAGTAAAAACAAAAAGCTCACTCTTCCGTGTTTAATTGACCCTTGAACAACACAGGTTTGAACTTCCTGGGTCCATTTATCCACGGATTAAAAAAAATAAATACTGTAAATGTAGGTTCCCTTCTTGAAAATCTTAATAGCATTTTTCCCCTCTAGCTTATTTTATTGTGAGACTACAGTATTTCATACGTCCAACAAACAAATATGTGTTAATCGTCTATTTATGTTATTGGTAAGGCCTCGGGTCAACAGTAGGCTGTTAGTAAAGTTTTGGGGGAGTCAAAAGTTAGATGTGGATTTTTGACTTCATGTGGTGGGGCGTGGGGAGTGTTGGTGCCCCTAACTCCTGCATTGTTCAAGGGTCAACTGTAAAAGGTAGAAAACAAACAAACAAACACAAAAACAAAACCCTTAACAAATTTTTTTTAAAAGAAGGATCAATTGTAAATAGTTACAGCTCTGCCTTCAGACAGGAGGAGTGGGCTACATGACCCTAAGCAACTCCCAGCATTGTAGCCACATAAAGTCTCCATTGCTTACATTTCCTCCTGCAATTAGAGTCCTGTGCTGAGATTACTAACATGTTTTCCAGTTACCTAGATTTGCATTAACCAACTTTCAAATCCACATCATAGTAACAAAGATCACAGAATGGGTGACCTAAATTAACTAAATTAACCAGACAGGGAGATGGTCTGGATAGGTACCCCAAGATAAGACCTGCAATTCAGGGCCTCTTGACTTGCTTCTCTGTCTCTCTGGATGATTCATGAGGTCCAGGGGAAAGGAAGGGTTTACTTTCCACAGAAAGCTTAGTATAATATTTGAGGGACCCTCAAAGAGAGGTACCCCCATCTCCTTTTTTTATTTACCTGCTAATAAGATGCCCCAGGTGATATGCCAAATGGTGGTTTTGTGTTTTCTACAAAAATCACAAACTGTACCATACTTCCTTGCCAGACACCTGTAACAACACAAAAACACAATGACAGGCAGAAGTCAATGCCAAAAACATGACATAAACTGGTATGCTACAGCTAGATGAGGCTTTGTAAATAAAGCAAGGAAACGAACAAATTCAGGAAGCATATGTCCTACAAAATGGAAATGGGAAACTCATTTTATTGTAGACTAAACTCAGCCATGGCTTGGATCCACTTTGCTGAATGGATGTGCTAAGTGCTGAGAGATCACAGAGATACACAAAACATGTTCCTGGAAATAGAGCGGGGGCGATTGATAACTAACCAAAAGCTGAAAATAATACATAGGACAAGACTGTTTCTCACTGGACCCTGAGGGCCTCCATTAGCTTTAAGGACACTGTTATTAAATGCTGATTTTAAAAAATCCACTGAACTCTCATCCATCTAGTTCCACAAAGTTTGAGTGTGTGGTGGGTCCCTGTCCCCGCTCACCACACCTTTCAGTGGGAAGTTGACAGACTCCACTGGGTGCTTGAAATGTAAAGCAGGATTCTGTGGATTTGAGAGCTTTAACCAGTAGGTTGTAATACAGCGTTCTCAGAAAGTTCCAGAATTGTTAGTGTGTCTTTGTTTCTGTTCAGGGCTTTGTTGTGAGGTGGTGGGTGGTGTGAGAGCAACGTGTGTATGTGGTCACTTCTTCAGAAAGGGACTGGAGAGGCCACAGGGCTGGACCCACAACAACTGTCCTCTACTTCCCCTGGGATGCTCCTGGTCCCTCCACTTCAGGGAGGCTCTGAAACCTGGCTTCCCTGCAGGTGCCTCTTTCCTCACTGCCGCGTCTAAAGAAGCCCTCTCCTCCCCTGAGGCTGGGTGGAAGGAATTTCTTGCACATTTAACCACAAACACTTCCAGGTCACTGGATAGCACTTCTAAAACAACCAACCACTTCCTTTTCTTGTTGTTAATTCTCACCTGAGGACATTTTTTCCACTGATNGGTCACTGGATAGCACTTCTAAAACAACCAACCACTTCCTTTCCTTGTTGTTAATTCTCACCTGAGGCCTTTTTTTTCCATTGAGTTTTAGAGAGAGTGGAAGGGAGGGAGAGACGAGGAGAGAGACAGAGAGAGAGAAATACTGATGCGAGAGAGAGGCATCAATGGGTTGCCTCCCACATGTGCTCGACAGGGGCCAGGGATCAAACCTGCAACCCAGGTATGTGCCCGTGACCAGAAATCAAACCCACAACCTTTGGTGTGTGCGTGTGTGTATGTGTGTGACACTAACCACTGAGCCACACTGGCCAGGTCAGCCACTTCTTGTCCCTGTAGATTCCCAATCCCCAGAACCTCAAAGGACTCAGCTCCCCACTGGGANGCGTGTGTGTATGTGTGTGACACTAACCACTGAGCCACACTGGCCAGGTCGGCCACTTCTTGTCCCTGTAGATCCCCAATCCCCAGAACCTCAAAGGACTCAGCTCCCCCTGGGGCCTCCCTCCCCTTGGTTAGCGTCTCCGGTTCCCTTCCTTCCAGCAGTCATGCCCACATGTCCAAGCCTCAGCCTCCTTCCAGTTTCAGGACACAGCTCAAGTTCTTCGCTTCTACAAAGCTTTCATACACATCCTCAGAGAGAGGCATTCTTCTGTACTTTACCCTACTTTTTAAATTGTGTTTTGTTATGTAGCCTTGATCTGACTGACTTCCTGAGGGACAAATCTCTGTGAGCCCTATAGCGCCAGCACCTTGGACATTAAGGGTGCTTGACAGGCATTTGTTGCATTACTAGATAAATGAAAAGGGGATGTATATTGCTTTTCTGGAGCAGTATTTTATAGCTGTGGGTTGGGACCCATTAGTGGATTGTGAATGATAACCATCACTAAAAGAAATAGGACATGCCAGAGTGGATCACTCATAGTGATGACATTTATTATTTAATGAGACTTGTGTCAGTATGTATGTCTGTGAATGTGTGCACTGAGAATTAGAAACACTGTTCTAGAAGATGTTGAGGTAATAGAAGGTAGTAAAGACTATGTTTTAATGGTCTAATTGAGGATAGTACATTATCCTCAGTTGTGGACACAGTGTTAAAAAGTAGCAGTGGTGGAGGGCAACATTTAATAGGGAACATCCATTTACTTTAGGTTGGATTTATCAGATTTTTTAATTGCAGGGAATGTGTGTAGTCCATTAAAGCAACCTGACCCTGCATAAAATAAAGTAACTAGAAATAGATGCTTCTGCCATCTGGTTATCTAGGCTGAGCCACTTCCAACCTCCCCACCACTGTTTCCGTCCCATTAACATTAGTGAAACCTGAGTCATCTAACCACCCAGGAGACTCAGCCCCCAGGGTCAGAGATTCATGAAGCACAATGAAGGATGGAACTAAGCTCAGGATTCTGAGGTGGTAAATATTTCCTGATGGTGTATATATGTGACATGATTGTTCAGTCCTAATTCTGACCAACTCCAGAGGTATCTTCTGACACATAAGAGCAAAAGTTCCTGAGAGACTTAGGAATTTAAATTAAATTTAAATAGGAATTTAGAAAATTGACAAATATTTTAGTGTTGTGATAGAGTACCAGACAATCTTGGACTAGGGATCAGAGGCTGAAATTGTCAGTTAGCTTTGTTCCTCTCTAGTTGACTACCCTTGAGTAAGTTACTTCTTGGAGCTTCATTTTCCTCATCAAAAAAAAAATAAAGATAATACAGTTTGCCTCTCCTAGTTTAAGGAGTGATAAAGACTTGGAATACCTTCAGGATACCTCAAGGTAATAGCAAGTAGATTGGGTTTTGAGAAACCAATTGCTTATTGATTGACACTGAGAAGATGAATTAACTACTTTTGTGTGGACTGGAGCAGTTGGTTGGTAATTTACACCTGTAATTAAAAGGCTGCCCTGGATATTGGGTTCCCAGGACATCAGCAGTTTGAATTTACCATGTTGATTGTCATAGAGCTCCACTAGTTTTTCTGAAAATGGTAGGAAAAAGGATTGGTGGTGGCGACCATCTCTAATAAACAAAAATAAATGTTAAAAAATTAGGTGAGGATCGACAAAGGAGCAGCCCTGCTGGCTCGGCTCAGTTGGTTGGGTGCGGTCCCAACCATGCACCAGNTCTCTAATAAATAATAATAAATGTTAAAAAATTAGGTGAGGATCGACAAAGGAGCAGCCCTGCTGGCTCGGCTCAGTTGGTTGGGCGCGGTCCCAACCATGCACCAGGAGGCCGCCAGTTTGATTCCCGGTGGGGGCACGTGCTTGGGGTTGGGCTTGATCCCCAGCAGGAGGCGCGCGGGAGGCGATCAGTAGATGTTTCTCTCTCCCTCTCCCTTCCTCCCTCTCTAAAATCAATTAAAACATATAAAAACAGAACAAAATAAAAGCCACAAGGGGGCAAAACCACTTGTTTCGGAGGGAGGTGTGGTTACTGCTTTGGTTTAAGCCTGTACCCTTTCTGACGCGTCTCTCGATCGTCGTCTTCGTCGTCTTTGTTCCTTAGAGAATCTTGCTCACTGGTGACCTGCTCTTCACCCTGGAAATCAAACATTGGAGCAGAGATGCAACGATGAGAACCCTGGGCATGGTGGACCCTGATCTGCTTTGCTCAGCAAACAACTCTCAAAATGTCCTTTCAAATTATTATTTAAAAAGATAGCTCCTATTGGATATTTTCTTTCTTATCACACAAAAAAGTGTGATCCAAGATCACACTTATCTCTCCCTTTTCTTCCAAAGGAGCTGTTGGTATTTTCTCATTTTCTTTAGGGAACAGACTCACTCATATCTCTGCTTTTTTTTGCTCCTGTGTCTACTGTAATCATTCAACACCAGCTCTGTTCTCAGGAAAGTGCTAAATGAAGTTCATGCTAGAGACTGCATAACTGTCCCTTTATACTCAGCCAGCCCTGGTTTCCAGAGGGCTGAGACCAAGGCTGGGTTTCTGTCCCTGGCAGCCCAAGGCNTGTCCCTTTATACTCAGCCAGCCCTGGTTTCCAGAGGGCTGAGACCAAGGCTGGGTTTCTGTCCCTGGCAGCCCTAGGCGTGGTCTGCAGATGTTAACACTAGCTCAGCATCTTCAAGGGCTGGTAAACGCCCCTTGGGAACTGGGCTCCTTCTCTCAGCTAGCCCTTGCTCTAATTAATGAGTGGGGTACAGGGTGGGACGAAGTAGGTTTACAGTTGTTTGTATGGAAAAATAATACAATAATAAATAAGAATATAAGAATAACCTCTGTGTTTCACATACAACCGTAAACCTACTTTTGCCCCACCCTGAATATACCTGGACCAGCTTTCATGGATAATCTTTCTAGGTACCGCATGAGCTCTTTAATATCCACAACCTGCCCTGTTCTCAGGACGGAGCAGAGGATTTCTGGTCTCTCTCTGTTCTGCAGTAATGTCTAAGACAGGCCCAGCTACTGTAAGCAATAGCTACTCCTCAGTCTTCATATTTCTGTTTACAATAGTGAAGCGTCTAATTTTTTGTTTTTGATTTTGTGTGTGTGAAACAGTCTTTAAAAAGACATTTTAGAGCAGTTTTAGGTTCACAGCAAAATAGAGGGGAAGGTACAGAGATTTCCCGTATACTCCCTGCCCCCTTCCCTCCACAGCCTCCCCCACTATTCACTTCCCTCATCAGAGTGGTGCAATTGTTATAATCAATGAACCTACAAAGTCATAGTTTACATTAGGGTTCACTCGTGGTGTTTGTCGACAAGAGGAAAGTTCTGAGATGCCCTAAATTGAATCACAGCAGGCTGGAGGGTGGGAGGAAGAGACCAGAAGTTAATCAGTGAGCAGAGCCAAGGGCAGAGATCAACAAAAGACAGTTCACATCCTGAGGTATGGCGGGCACCGGCTCCCGGGCTGCGCTCGCCGCTCTCATGCGAGGCTAGCTGACCACCAGGCACCACTGCGCCTTGCTCACCATGACCGTTCTGGACTTGCCCGCAATCAGTCCAAAAGCAGCAGGTGCTTCTTCCTTACGGACTCTGCACCTATCCCAGAACTTTCTTCGTTTCACCTTCTCCTGCCCCCCCTTGTCTACAGCCAATGTAAATTCTTTTAAAACAACTTACATCTTTGTATTCATTGTATAACAGAGCCCCCTCGGCCTCAGGATGGTGCTCACGCTGTCTTGTCCCTATAGCTCTGCTGTCGGTGGTTTGGTCTGCAGGCCCCAAGACCAGGTCCTCTTTCGGGCTGGTGCGGGACTCGATAAACCCTTTCTTTCAGAAAATCTTTCGGCAGTGAAGGTTTTTGCTTAGTAGTATTTTATTTACATCCTATGGATCTGGCAACCATTATAGTATCATACCGAGTAGTTTCACTGCCTTAAAAATCTGTTTCTATTCACGCCCCCTCCCCTCTTGGCAACCACTGATCTTTTTTCTGTCTCCATGGTTTCCCTTTTCCAGAATGTCTTCGAGTTGGAATCATATACTCTGTACCCATTTCAGATTGGCCCCTTTCGCTTTGAAATATGCACTTAATGTTCCCCCATATCTTTTCAAGGCTTGACAACTCATTTAGTTTTAGCGATGAAGAATATTTCATTGTCTGGATTGGCCACAGTTCATTGGGCCATTCCCCTACCTTGGTTGCTTCCAGGTTTTGGTGATTATGAATAAAGCTGCTATAAACATCCATGTGCAGGTTTTATGTGGACAGAAGTATTGCTTTCTCTTTTTTGTTGTTGAATAATATTTAGTGAAATGGACACTTTTTACAATATAGTAAATGAAATAGACAGTGATAATATGTATAGCACTATTCCAATTAGGTATGCATGTGGATGTATATTTGAACTAAAAGTGCTTATTATAAGATGTTGGACATTGATTTTTTTCTGAAATTACAGGTCACTTTTTTTTGTCTTTCAAATTTTGCTGCAATAATTTTCCAAATTATTTTCTCCTTCAAACAAGTTATTCTTTTTATCATGAGAACAACTCTCCCCCCAATAAATGGCTCTCTAGTAGGCAACCCAGAATTACTAAAAAGAAATTTAAAAAAAGGATAGCTAGTATGGAGAATTTGCTCACTTTGTAATAGCACAAGGCTTTATTCAAATAAGAGCCTACCCAGAATTCAATACATAAAAGAAATAGAAGCGGCATTGTGATGGAGAGCTTCAGCCTGCTCTGCAACTTAGGTGTCACTGAGGAACCCTAGGGCATGATGGACACTGTTTTAGAACCATATGTTAGAACCTTTCTCATCCACCTCATTTACTGTAAAATTGAAATGCTTTTGTTTAAGCCAGGGCTTTCTGCACAGGATGGAGCTTGGAATCTATAGTAGCCCCATGTCAGAGAAAGCCTGGGTACCCTCCCCATCAGAGAACTCTGAGGACAGGTGTAAACAGAACTTTAATTTGGACACGTATGTTTTCTTCATGACTCAGCCTTACACGGTCTAATTACCATTTGACTCATTCCTCTGGGTGCCAGCTGAGTACCATGCTTTCTGTCCCCATAGCTCTCAGGGGTTACCATGGCTCACTCACCCATCTCGGGCCGTACCTGTTTGCCATTTACATGTTCTCTGTTTTGCACAACTCTGCTCCTTGGGGAGTTGTTTCCGGATGTGTTCTGGTTTTCATAAATGTCTTCTTCATTCTAAAAACAAAGTACAGTTTGCAAAGATAAAATTTCAGAGCCACATGTTCTTTCAATGAGTGGTGCCTAGAAGAATTTTTTTCTTTTTATTAAACTTATTGGGGTGAAAATGGTTAATAAGGTTATATAGGCTTCAAGTGTACAATTCTATGATACATGATCTTCATATTGCCTTGTGTGCCCACCACCCAGAGTCAAATCATCCTCCTTCGCCATATATTTGACTCCCTTTACCCTTTACCATACCCACCCCTCTTTCTTCTGGTAACCACCATGCTGTTTTCTGTGCGTATGAGTTTTTGTTTGTTCATTTTTCTTGTTTGTTCATTTGTTGCTTTCGGTTGTATATCTCACATATAATGAATTCATATGGTTCTTAACTTTTTCTGTCTTATTTCACTTGGCGTGATATTCTCCAGGTCCATTCATGTTGTCACAAATGGCACTATTTCATCTTCTCTTAGGCTGAGTTGTGTTCCATTGTGTGTATGTACCACGTTCTTCATCCAGTCCTCTATCGAAGGACACTTTGGTTGTTTCCATGTCTTGACCAATGTGAATATTACTGCAGTGAACATAGGGGTGCACATGTCTTTGCGTATAAATGTTTTCAAATTTCTGGGGTAGATACCCAGAAGAGGGGCTGCTGGGTCATGTGTAACTCTATTCTTAATTTTTTGAGAAACCTCCACACTGTTTTCATAGTGGCTGTACCAGTTTACACTCCCACCAGCAGCAAGTGAGGGCTCCTTTTTCTCCAACCTCTCCGTTTGTTATTACCTGGCTTGTTGATACTAGCCATTCTAACAGGTGTGAGGTGGTATCTCATTGTAGTTTTGATTTGCATTTCCCTAATAGCTAGTGAAGTTGAGCATCTTTTCATACCATATATCTGTTGGTAACTTGAATCTCTTCTTGGGAGAAGTGTCTGTTCAGGTCTTCTGCCCATTTCTTAATTGGATTGTTTGGTGTTGAGTTGTATGAGTTCTTTATATATTTTGTATATTAACCCCTTGCCAGAGCTGTTGTTTGCAAATACCTCCTCCCATTTGGTTGGTTGCCTTTCTGTTTTGTTGTTGATTTCTTTTGCTGTGGAGAAGCTTTTTAGTTTGATACAGTCCCATTTATTTATTTTTGCTTTTATTTCCTTTGTCCTTGGGGTCAAATTCATAAAATCTTCTCTAAGACCGATGTCCATAAGGTTAATACCTATGTTTTCTTCTATGTAATTTATTGTTTCAGGTCTTATATTTAGGTCTTTGGTCCATTTTGAGTTAGTTTTTGTATATGGGGACAAACAGCAATCTAAGGGTGGGTTGGCTGACATGAGGTGTTTAGATGAATCATCTGATTAAAGAAAGAACCAGTGAATCTTGGCTTATAGGGAAAGAGATGATTTTTGTTTTCTTCTGCTCTGATAGAAAAGACTGGTGTGGTTTAACTTGAGGAAGAGAGAAAGGAAGACTGTTGCCCTTGTCTAGGCCGCATAAATTTCTAGTAAGCAGAGCTGTGGCTAAGGGTGCAGGTTTCCAGTCTCCTTTTCATCACATTACACAGGCTTTTAACTTATAAAATAAAACAAAATATAGTAAACCATAGGCCAGATAATTTTATTCATAGATGTTGGATTTATGAGATATTTATTAAAACATGTCTTGTTTGGTTTAAAGCAATTTCTGGTAGTAATGAGAATTAGAAAATGACTTCTTTTGTGAGGCTCTCTTGATTTTACTTTAAGGAACTGCGTATGGTTTGTTCTTGGTAGGTCTCCTGACCCCTTAGTGCTGTTTCCAGATGTGACAAACACTTGGCTCATTTCTCTTTTACATTTTTGGGGTCCAATCTTTTTCCTATCTCATCCCAACTTGCCTTTTTATATGGTAGTTCATTCCAAGTAAGGCAACTGCTAGATAAATAGTGCCAGGTAGGTCCTTAGGTCTTTTTAGGAAATATCCCCTGGTAGCCTGTTGGCTGTGAACTTGTCTTTCAAAAAGAACAAGTGCACGACTTTGATTTTAACTTTGGATCTCTGGCTGGCCTCAAGGATCTAGAAAAAATTGCAGTTTCAACTTGTGTTGCATTTTCCATTTGTTGAAACCCAAGAGTGCATAAACATGAATAAAATCTACCTTCCAGCACATATATGACTTATGCATGTCTTGTTGCCAAAATGCCCTTTTCTGTTACAGTTGTTTATATCTTACTTTAGCACAATTCCTTGTGCTTAGCAGACACTAACAATTATTTGTTGAATTAATGAGCCACAGTGATTTTAATCTTGCACTAACTGGCATAGCAATGTAGTATCTCTGGGTATTTCCTATCAAATCTAGCAGGTGCTGGGGGACAATATATGCAGTATGGAAAGATGACAAAGTATTGCTAATTGCTGAAACTGGCTGGTGGACACTTAGGGACTAATTTTACTATTCTTTAATGGGTGCTGAAAATTTCTTTAATAAAACATTAAAAATAAAATCCATCAGGAGTTGGCAGAAAGACGGGACACAGGTAACAGAAGAGGCTGGTCCTCAGGTCCTTAATTACAAGTGTGACACAGGCCAGGTGACATCTTTGAGAGCCTCAGTCCACCCATTTATACAACACAGTTTCGATGTGGTATCCTCATGGTTCCTTCCAGAATCCTGACACTTCCCAGCTCCATGAGGAACTTTAGCTTCTTAATGTTGACTATTCCTGCCACCTGCTGCCAGAATCGGAAGCTTCCCTGTGAAACACAAGGGCGGAGCCTGCCTTTTCAAAGTGAAAAAAAGAGGAAGGGGTGTGTGGGTGTGTGGGGGTGTGTGTATGGGGTGGAGGCGCAGAGTGGGCATGAACGATGACAAGAGCACCTCTGAATGTATTTTGCAAACATGCAGTGGGGTGGTTTTACCCCCAGGAGAGTACACACTTTAGCTTTTTAGCATTTTCAGGAAGAACGCTAACTCCTATTTGAGGATTTCCAACAGAAATAATGAGAATGTTGTGTGGGTGTTGATTGGTACCTGAAAAAATGACCGTTAAGACACATGCTTCTCTGCTTCTTTTCAAACTGGAGTCTTGGGGCTGTAATAGGAGGCTCATAATTACTTCTCAGCCCACTGTTTCTTCCCCCTCTATTTAGCAATTCAGAATACTAGATATCTTAGTGCTCCACGGGCCTACAATCATGACTGTGTTCTAAGTGCAGACCTGTCATTTCACTGAACGTGTTACAACATTGTGGGTGTTGTGGATGAGTATTTTGAAACAGTTTACAGCACTACACTTTTAATTTCTCAAATTGATGTTAGGTTTTGGAGGCCTGCGGGTAATGATCCTGGATAGAGCCCCATCTGAAGGGCAGATCCAAGAGCCAGGAGTACATTGTGCGTGGGGCGTTTCTCTTTGATGTTGCACTTTCCATGCTGCTCAAGCAACTACAGATCCACAGTGGGTGTTACAGGGAGCGCAGGTAGACAGAGACCTTTTTATTGACTTCTTCTTTCCGTTCAGTTTCTAAGCTATATTATAACTTTTAGAATACTTGTGATGTCCCCTTCTATGGAATTTTAGCTGAACACATGGCCACCGAGAATAAAGGCTACATTTCCTAGATTCCCATTTCACTAGATTCTGGCCAATGAAATGTGAGTAGAAGTGGCAGGTACCTTTTGTCCCTTTGATCTTTTCTTCTGTCCTGCTGCCTGGTGTGTGGATGGTTCCACCTGGACCAAGGACACCAGGGTCCCATTCTAGTGATATCAGAGCAGTGAGTTGGGGTGGGGGGACTTGGGTCCCCAAAAGCCTTGAGCAGCACTCCTCTCCAGCTCTGTACTGCCCACTTCTTGACTTCTATCTGCAGGAAACAAACTTTTTCCTTGTCGCTTTTGGGTTTTGCCTTTATTTGCAGCAGGTCTGATACACTAGGTTGAATCCTTTAAAAGTTTTGTATTCGATCCTAAGAGGCCTGTGAGGTGGATACTGTGATCTCTCTTTTTGCAGACCAGGGAACTAAAGCAAAAATAAGTAAATCACTTGACTCGAGTTGCACAACCAGAAATAGCTGAGATGGGACTTGGGCTCAGACTGTCCAACCTCAGGCCACATTGTGCCCATAGAGTTTGTCCCTTGGGCCGAGGCCCTTTGACTTTGGAAATATGTAGACATAGTAAGTGGTACACCTACCACTTTGATTAGGAAAGCTTGATTTGAATGCTAGATGTAAAAGACAAGAGTAAAAATGACAGAGGCTCTGAAAGTTTCCAGAAATGCTTGTGGCTGCTTTTGAACTACATTTAGGCTCTGGAAGTCACTTCTCAAGACAGAATTTTTCAAGCCCCACCCTGTAGACTGATTTTAAGTCAATTCTATCCTTAATCGGCCGGAGTGGACACTCCTGCATTTGTGAACATGTCATGCCTCTGTGATTAGTTTAACATTCTTTATTTCTCCCAACTATGTCTACTCCACTCACAGTTTCTCCCCACCACTGTGGCCCTGATTTCACAACATGACTTTCATTTCTCAGTTTTTGTGCCAGGATTTCTCTACTGGATATTCAGCATTACTGTGACAGGAGAGCCTCCCCTCTTCCTTCTCTATAGAAAGTGCTGTGGCCTGGTGTTGCTCCGAATGTACAAATGGCCTTGCTGAGGGGATACAGTGGGACTTGAGGACGGGGGCAAGAATGGCAACCTATACCCCAAGGAGACTTTCATCCTGACCTTCAGTGGAACATAGATCACGTAGGTTTATGGAAGATGGGAACAGTCCTGTGGGCAAATGTAATGTGGACATGGACCCTGAGGAGTTGCTATGAAGATCTTCAACTTAGCATTTGTTACTTCACAGTGAGTTCTATGAGGTGTTTGATAATGCACCTTGGCTAAAAGGCCTTAGATCACCAGAGCAGATTGAGATTGATGGTTAAAGTTGCTTATTTTATTATGTATGTGTGTATTATCTATCTATCTATCATCTATCATCTATCTATCTATCTATCTATCTATCTATCTATCTATCTATCTATCATCTATCTATCTATCTATCTATCTATCTATCTATCTATCTATCTATATCATCTATCATCTATTTATCGTCTATCATCATCTACCGATATTTATCTAATTTACACATCTCTGTATACCTTTAAAGCAATCTTCCTAGGAGCAGTCAATGTGGTACACTCTGAGGAGTGATGCCTTAAATATTGCCATGGATGTCAAAATCCCAAT